TATATATATATATATATATATATATATATACCTATAATATATTTCAATGCGTTGGAGTGGGTTACCGGCATCATTCGCTGAACAGATATATTTGGCTTTCAGGCACAGATGATTAGCTTCCAGAGCGCGCTAGAGGAACTTGGATTAGACAGATATTTTTCTTTCGGCCTGCGTGCCACGATGATGTATTGAGGATATTTAGCTAGTTTAGCCTGTGCATCTGAGTTCTCCAGCTCAGATGTGGCATAGCACCCCGCACTCTTATGTTTAGTAATAATCTGTTTTGAGATTTAATAAGAAATTACCTTCGTTATATAAGTTTTAAAAGTTTCAAAATTTCGGGGTGTTACAGTTGGTATCAGTTCTTGTTCCCCCTTACAGGAAGCTTGGTCAAGATCACCACCACATTGCCGGAAGCCAGGAACTGGACCCTCCGTAACATTTCAGGCAGCTGTAGTCAAAGAAAGCTATATATATGACTTGCAATTTTCTTTTTAGAATGACCAAGCCATTTGCAGCCACCTTAAGGTAATTCTCTTATTCTCTTCCTTTTTAAGACTTAGATAATTCATTTGATCTGTACATTATGAAAATGAATAAATCTATGGTAGCAGTATATCTATATATGTAGCTGACTTGGATCCTTGTTTTGTCTGTGATCCTCCTAGAGGGGAATCCATCCCACCTGTAATATTTTAGACAGAGAGATAGTGAGATACCACAACATAATGAATGTAAAAGAAATTGATATAGACATTTGAATAAACAGAGCTTTATCAACCTGCTGATAACCTCTCAACCTTATGGTGATTGGTTTTTGGTACTCATGTGTGTCAGAATGTACAGCCCTGGATGCGGAACAGGAATTGAGAAAATAATAAAACAATGGTTACATGCATGAAGTCTAAGGAACATGGAATTTGGTGGCTACTTTTTATGAGAAATTTAAATTATTTTTAAATATTATTAAATTAGTATTTCCAATTCTCATTATGTTTATTTTATAGTTTCTATACATTTTTTTAATATTTATAACTCTTCAGTTTTTCTTAATTGTCAGACTTTTGTATTGAGAAGTCAAGTTTTGAATAAGATTAAAAGTGTTTGAGTTTGAGCTATATTGTTTGTGTTCTCCTGTTCTCTTTGTCCTACATCAACCCTCTACAACTGTGAAGTCAATCGTCCTGTTTTGAATAAGATTAAAAGTGTTTGAGTTTGAGTTATATTGTTTGTATTCTCCTGTTCTCTTTGTCCTACATCAACCCTCTACAACTGTGAAGTCAATTGTCCTACATCAATCCTCCACTATTTCCATTGCCCATATACATGTGCGTCCTTTTTCTGGTATTACTGATAACTGTGGCTTGTTATTTCTTTTCCATTCCATTTTTTTAGTCAAGTCACACTATACAAGTCATGTTTTATGGCGTTAAATTATGCAGTTGATGCAAGTTAAAAAATATATTCTCCTCAACAAATTGTGTATGTCATGATATTACACTGGTTTAAACTTAGAAGGCAGTCTTGACTTCTTGAAATATTGTCTTTATATCAGAATATTTTTCCTATACCATACATCCCCATGGATTGATAAATGATTTAGATGGGAGCCGTTACAATTTGGATTGGAGACTGAAGAATGCGGCGCTGAATGAAAAATAGGGTTAGCAAATTAGCATCGGAATAAACTGTTTTTCATTTTATTATATAAAAATACGCCATGCATTTTGTGTGAATTATAAGGAGAGAATTATTGTGTGATAGTATAAGGTGCATTATTTGTATGCATAAAACACACTATTTCCATGAATGTGTTTTAATGCATGATTCACACAGCTATATGGATCATGATTCACAGCAAAATTTATCAATAAAACTTCACTAGTTACTTTTGTACGAAAACCAGGAAGAATGACCAGGATCCAGTCTCACCAGCGGCAGTGTGGGAGCAACCTCTCAAAGTGAGAGGGGCTCCTTGTGCGCACACGATTGGAAATTATAGAATTTTCGACCACTTTTGGTATCGGAAAAACCTTTGTTGTTATTTCTGGCCGCTTTTTGCTTTCAACTTGATTTAAGATCACTATCAGATGGTCGAAAATTTCATAATTTCCAGTTGTGGCAGTAAGCAAAGGTCTAGTCTCTGTGTTTCATGTTCAGTTGAGTTATCATAATTTACATCGTCTCAGGTGCTCTGTTGGTTAGATTTTTTTCTTTACATAAATGCACAAGTAAATGTTTTTTTTGTAAAGAGGAAAACTCACAATCAGTATCGGAGAGTTTGTACCGAGTAAGCCTTGCTACAAGGCTACATACAAATGATCCGCCATTATTTAATATATATAATGTATACACACATTTAGATTTATACTCCGTATTACACATAAATTATTCATGATGAAACAAGTATAACAATATAAAAGTAAAGTTGACATTGCCATCCGACCACGACCACATACTTGTCAATAATGCAACACGACAACATGGTACTCCACGATTGCGTTACGGGCCGTGAAATTCGCCCAGTAAGTCTTGGCGGTGGCGACGCCCTGCGCCAACCGGAAAACGCCGGAGCCACCGACGATGGGCATTTCACGGTACCGATGGAGGATGGGGTTACGGCCGAGGAGGCTAAGGGTGCTGCCGTTATACTTCCCGGCCGTAAACACCAAGTTGAACGTCATGAGAAACCCGATCTCGCTGAACGAGGCGGAGCCGTACATTGGCCGACGATCTGAGAGCCCGGGTCGGGTCCGGCCGTCAGGGGGTCGTCGGCCATGGCGAGGAAGCCGAAGCGAGTGGGCGAGTCGGCGGTGGTGTTGGCGCCGGCGATTTGGAGTGCGGTGGGGTTCTTGCCGGTGAGGGTGTCGTGGAAGAAAAAATGGAGTTTTGTAAGCTTTTGGCGTGCATGGGGTAGGCGTTGGAACCACTCGTCCACCGCCTTAGGGCCTTGAGGAGGCACCGTGGCAATGCCTATCGCCGCCATGGCTATCACAGTGTTCAACAAAAGCAATATAATTGCGCTTCGTTCTGCCATTTCTAACTCCTCTCTAGCTTCCTCTTTCTTTCTCTCTCTCCCTCCCTCAAAAATGGATATATATATATATATATATATATATATATATATATATATATATATAATGTATTGATAAAGATATATACCAGGGAAGAAAACTTGAGGTGTGTTTGGTTCGCACATAGGAATCGGAATCGGAATCGAAATGGGTATCAAATACTTGGTAATGGTAATGGGTTTTGGTGAAAGTATTTAACATGTTTGGTAGTAGAGTGGAATGAGAATGGTTACTAATAGTAGTGCTTGAGAATGAGTAAGGGAATGAAACCCTTACTGTATTTGGTATGAGTTTTTCAATTGATGGGGTATTCGAAACCTATAGTAGTGCTCTAAAAACATATCAACCAAACAACAACAATCACTTTCATACACATTCCCATGGACAAAACCCACCAACCAAACACACCCATGGTGTTTTGGGGTGGGAGAGGGGGTAGGCCAGGGGCGGCGGCGGCCGGCAAGGATAGAAGCAACATAATTATCCCATAATAAAAAATGGTGATTGTGGCCTCGGAGTGGCGAACTTATAATAATTAATAAGGTGTTTGCCCATTAATATAGTCCCAAGAAACTAGCTAGAAATAAAATACTTTTTATATTTTATGTGTTGACAAATGACATGCCAAAAATTATATTTAGTATTACAATAAATTTAAAAAATATTTTAAAAAAATATTTTTTATAACTAGCCGCTATTTTTTAAACACTACATATACTCCCTATAAGGATAAGGCTATTAGAAAGGGACACGAACAAACTAAAAAAGATAGATACGATCAACTGACCTTGTCAGAAACCTGCAATAAAAGAGTAATCAACCCGCCATCAATAGCCACTGCAACGGCAACCTAGGCAGGAGCAGTAGCTTTAGCTAGTAACCCCTTTGACTTGAACTAAGACCAATTAAGCTAAGGAATGATACACATATTTTTTTTTTTTTTTTAAATGGTAATATTTTCGTAAATAATTGAACATCGAAATACAAGTAGGGCAAGTAACAGTTTCATATAGTGCATCTCAGTGCATGTAAAATGTATTACAAGTGCAGATAAAATGTATTACAGGTGTAAGTAAAATTTATACTGAGCATCAAAATTAAGTCACCTAACGTTATAACTAGGTGCACCTATAGTTATAAGTAGTTGCACCTAGGTGCATGAATGTTAACAAGGTAAAATTAAATACACTTGTAAGTGAAAGTATGTGACTTGTAAGTGATTTTACCTGCATATTTTACTTGCAAAAGTGCACCAACTACTTGCACTTATAACACATTTACATGCACTAAAATTTGAGTAATTTACGAAAATATCACCACATCATTTTTTTTCTTAAATTACATCTGATTCGTTGATTTGGAAATGTAGGCGGCGCTGAATGATTCTCAGTTCTCTCTTGGGCGAACAGTTCGCACTTGAACGCGATCATTTATATATATATATATATATATATATATATATATATATAAATATATATATATATATATATATATATATATATATATATATATATATATGAGCTTGAGAACTTATGAGGACCATTGATATGGTATAATCGAATGGCTCAAAAATGTTCACAAATTTGCACGGGTAATTTAAAAAGGAATGTGAGGGAAAATTATGTTGTGCATCAACAACTTTGTTTTACTTTTAAAAAAAATCATTTTCGATTGTCGTTTAGTTACGTAAACATGTGTTCATAATTTTATAATTTCACATTATGAATGTATAGTTATGAAGTTATGGATGTGTATAGTAGTTATATGCAATTCTGAATTATAGTTATGAAGTTATAGGTGTATAATAATAATAATAATAATAATAATAATAATAATAATAATAATAATAATAATAATAATAATAAAGAAGAAGAAGAAGAAGAAGACCTGTTTGGTGATTGTTGGATAGCTCGTCTGCTTTGGGGGATGGACGACGTCATGCAAGATAGAAATTTGCAGGAGTTCATGGGAGATGCTGTCGGTGCTTCGAACATGGCTTTGTCCATTCGTATGGCGGCAATCTTTTGGGTCATTTGGACCGAGCGTAACAATCGCATATGGAGGGACAAATCTACTAGCAATGAGATATTGCATCGCCAGGTGGAATGTCTTAGAGCCTCCTGGAAGGAAACGTTTAAGCCGGCAACTTTGAGAGGGCAGGCAACCGGCTCTCCAGTGATCTGGGAACCACCGGCACAAGGGTGGTTAAAATGTAATGTAGACGCGGCAGTGCTTGCTGATGGTGTAGGCTTCGGAGCTGTAGTACGAAATCATGAAGGACGCTTTGTGGCGGCTATGAACGGCCGGCTTTCGTGCGATAGAGAACCTTTCATGGCGGAGGCTACGGCAGTAAAGGAGTCACTCACTTGGTTGCACAATTTTGGTCGCGGATTCATGGTCATTGAAACAAATTGTTTAAATTTTTGCAAAGCTTTTAATTCCAGTAGCTTAAACTTCTCTTATGTTAATTTGATTGTTAAGCAATGTGTTTTGATTGCTAATGGCATTGGGAACGTGAGTGTTCATTATGTCTAAGAGATCAGCTAATCAAGTGGCTCATGTGCTTGCACGGACGACTGATTTTGGGACTGACTCTAATTCGTGGGTTGATACCCCACCTGATTGTATTTTTCATTTATTGGTTCATTAATGAAGTTTGTTTGTTTGTTTCAAAAAAATATAGTAAAACTAACATTATCCATGCAAATCTCTCCCACTCTCAAAAATTGGTTTTACTTTCACTAACATTTGTAAATTCTCTACTATTTATTGATTTTATTCTACATTCATACAATTAAATTGACTTTTATTTTTAAAAATAAATCCCACTTACATATTATATTATAAATATAATACTAAAATAATAAAACAAAATTAAATAAAAAAAATGAAAAAGGACGCTGCCTTGGTACGTAAACAAATTGTGTTTCCAAAATGTTCACAAGAAAAACAATATGAATAAAAACAAAAAAAAAAAAAACAAAAAACAAAAAAACAAAAAACAAAAATACACTCATTTTTGCACTGAGCCACTGCAGAAGAATCTCGTAGATTGATGGAGAACCTATGTGTACTTGAGATTAGCAATCGTATGGCTGATATTGATTGATCTGTCGCATGTGCACTGGCCCACTGCATAAAAATCTCATAAAACTGACGAATACGCACTGTTGTAATGATTGGGATAGGTTAAACAAATTTGGATATTCTGTCGGTATTTATTGGGATCAGTTAGGCCAATATTAATTTCTTTCATATTTTTTTTTAAAAATACTTATCATTCTTTACAAGGTAATATCTATTGTATACTTTCTCAAACATTTTCACCTAAAAAAATTTAAACTCCCACTACCAAAATTTGAACATTTGATTATCCGCTTGAATGGATAATCGGGATGTCATCACACTACATAGTAGTTGGCAATTTCTTTCATATACATTTGCACACAAAAAATTAAATCTAGACCAATCATACTTAGGGACAGAAACCGGGCGGGGCGGGGCGGGGCGGGGCAGGGGCGATGAATGGGATCCCCGTCCCTGTGGGAAATTTTCGGGAACGGGAAATCCCCGCCCCATTTTTTATTTATGCCTATTACAAAATAAAAGACTAGTTTTTTTTTAAAAAAAAAAAAAAATTAAAAACTAAACAGTTTACAGTAATTACAAATTTCAATTCCTAAACAGTTTACTACACTAAACACTAAACACTAAACATTTTAATTCCTAAACAGTTTGCACTGAATACTAAAATTACTAATTGAAATTCTTAATATTATATATATATATTATTAGCCGGGGATTCGGGGTCGGGGCGGGGAATGCCGTCCCCGTCCCCGGCGGGGATTGGGGAATTCTCCCCATCCCCCGTTCCCCGAATTAAATTTTTGAACCCGTCCCCGTCGGGGCGGGGGTCGGTCTTCCCCGTCGGGGGCGGGTTCAATTGCCATCCCTAATCATACTATTAGGAATATAGCGGAATTCCTCCAACATGTTCTGTCAGGTCGGAGTGTAGGGACCTTTAGGGTTGGGGATTCAACTTTTTGGGATAATGAATATAGCGGAATAATGAGTAAGCAAATAATCAAAAATTAAAAATTATAGAAGTTAAATAATAGTAGAATATATAAAATATAATGACAAATGGATTACTAAAATGAGAAAATAATATATATATATATATATATATATATATATATATATATATATATATATATAAGCTTCGAATCCGGTACATCCCTTATGATAAATGAGTTCATGAGAACTCATGATATCCATTGATTAATTTTCCATCAATGGTTAAGATTATTAGAGATTGTTAAAGTAATTAAGGATATATAATAATCAAAAAGATTAAATTGTAATTGTAGTTATTTATTTATTTATGGATATAATAGTAATGGAATCTTAAGCATTAAATTAGGGATATTATGAATGGTAATTGAGGACATCGATTGTTAAATGTTCTGCATAGACGTATTTAAAAAAAAAAATGCGTGAACGATACTAAAAGCACAGACGAATGGAAGACAGTACAGAGGCAACCGAGGATCACACTTCAATAATGGCGGGTACTAGCACAGGTAGGTGCATAAGCGTTTATAGGCATGTGCGTATTGCCAGGTTTTTTTTTTTTTTTTTAGATTTTTGTTGTTGGGTCGAACGAACTATAAGTTAGGGCTGTTTGTGTGCCTCAGTAAACAGCGTATAGGTGTAGTTTGGTTGCATATTAGCTTGTGCAACCCTCCCGGGTTTATTACATCATGAATATAAAACGGAAGTTTAGGAGCCGGGTGCGTCGACTTAGATTAGTCTGTGCATTATAGCTCCGTATGAAGAGGGAATCGTTTTCCTGTATTAAATTTGTTGTTTGTTTGGTGAGACGAGCTAAATGTAAGGGTAAGTCTGTGCATGCATGACTGATATCTGAATATTTGGAATGACATGAATTTTGATTCCAAATTCTAATGATTTTAGATTAATAGTAGGGTAAGCCAACATTAGTATGTGCATAGTAGTATTAGTTTTTTTTTTTTCTTTGGTTATTGGATTATTGGTTTTTTTTTTTTTGGTAATTGTTTTGTGTTAGTTTTCTTCGACAACCTAATGTAATAAGATATATGAGTGAATGCTACGAATGACCAGGGATCGAGTCTCACCAGCGGCAGTGTGGGGGCAACATCTCAAAGTGAGGGGGGTTCCTTGTGCGCAGTGAGCAAATGTCTAGCCTCTATGGTTCATGTTCAGTTGAGTGACCATGATTTACATCCTCCCAAATGCTCTGTCGGGCCGGGGTGTGGAGGGCCCTTAGGGTTGGGGTTAAGCCTTTTGGAAGAATGTATGAGCGAATGCTACGAATGTTTGACATAGAGAAACGCACGTGAATTTCAAACACACCATACAAGGACATTAGTTTAGGTGGATGGTGCGTAGACACCGCCGAGTGCGTGCATAGCGTGTGAATATGGCAACGCACAGACCATGAAGTCTGTGCATAATAGGCACACGCATAGACCAGAAGTATGTGCATAATGGGCACCACCTAATATAAAACAAAAGAGGCCTTACAATCAAAATAGTTACAGAATGCTTTATTTATCTACTGGGCAGCAAAAAATGATACCAAAGAATTTTGAGATTAAACAATGGGAACGTAACTTTCTGCAACTATACTGTAATTAGAGAACCTAAAATTGATATCCAATATCAACAGAGTTATGCCATGAAATAACAAATCTGTGCGTTGCAACTAAACCTAAATCTGGCAACTTTACGTAAATCTGGCACACAACAATTAGAGAACCTAAAATAGATAGCCAATATCAATAGAGTTATGCCTTGAAATAACAAATCTGAAGATAAGGAATTTAGTTTGACACCCCGACATTTTCATCAACCTCATCGGGCTCAACATCTGAGCCATCCGAATCCGGCGCTGGTTGTTCTAGCTGATCCAGAACTTCGGCATCATCAGTCTGTGGCAAAGGTGCGACCACATTGCCAGCACCTATCGCCTACCGGCTCAACCGCTACAGCAACTACCGGCTCACACGCAACAGCAACTACAAGCTCAACCGGAATATCATCTGGATCGGAAATGGCAAGAATTAATCCGAGTAACCAAAAAAAAAAAAAAAAGAATAAAAAAACGCATACTCAAACCCAAAACCGCATCCCCCTACTGTCAATATGTCTGTCTTTAAAAAAAAAGACATTATAAAACTAAAGAACCAAGATAAAGAAAGCAATCCAAAAACCGGTAGTGCCAATTAGCACCAAAACTTTACCGCTATCTCGCACACGGCAACAAACTAATACGCACAAAACAGCACCCGTAGCCACGGTACCCCCCAAACTACTAAGAAAGAATAAATAAATAAATAAATAAACAAGCACCGACCCAACAACAGTAGCACACCAACCTAAATGTTAAAAAAAAAAAAAACAGTAGTGCCAATTAGCAACTAAACTAAACCCTAACTTGCACATGGTAATATACTACTACGCACTAATCACCACACCTAACTACGCAACCCCCGAAAAACCCCTAAAAAAACAATAAATGCGCACCAACACAATACCAGTGACACACCAACCTAAATGTAAAAAACACAAAAAAAAAAAAAAAAAAAAAAAAAAAAACTAGTGCCAGTTAGCAACTACATTTCACCCTAACCTGCACAAGGTAACATACTACTATGCACAAACCACCACACCTAACTACGCAAGCCCAAAAAATCCTTAAAAAAAAAAAAACAATAAACACGCACCGACCCAATACTAGTGGCACACCAACATAAATGTAAAACCGACAACAAAACCAGCAGTAGCAAATACCAACAACACTTTACCCTAACTTGCACAGGGTAACAAACTAGAACGCAACAACCACCCCACCCAAAACCAGTAGAGCACCAACCTAAAACGAAAAGAACAGGAAAAACAAAACCACAATGCAGATTACAAACTCCAAACCCGAACACAAATTATTGGACCCATATGCATTTACCCAAGCAAAATAATCAAACCCCAGACACCATTCCCCTACTGTGGAATTGACTTTGTTAGTGTTTTAATTGCTCAAAAAACCCCAACATATAATTGGCAATATTATTATGACAAACTAAGATAGGATTAATGATGTGTAGCAAAAATAAGATGTGAGCTCGGGTGTGAAATGTCGTCCTCAGGGGAATGGGGGTTATGGCACGCAATATGCAATCACAAGGAACTAGGCACTAGCATAAGGAAATCAACAAGAAGCTAAGCAAACTATAACAAGGATGAGACAACGTAACTAAACAAAATACCAAAAACACATACGAACAAGAGATAAATACGAAATAAAGAAATAGGACTCAAGCTAGGGAGCATTATCATCTAGATGATTTAACAACCTAAGGGATTAGGGAGAACAAGTAACCAAGGAAACAAGCGGGAATGCACGTAGGAATCCTAGTCTACAAACCATTCTCGTAATTAATAAACAAGGATTAGAACAAGGAATTGCCCCACTTTCGTGGTGAATCAATTCCAAGTCCATCAAGCACACAAAGCATCTAAAGCCCCCAATTTCCCATATTTTCGTAGGAAGAAATTGGGTCTATGCAAGGGGTGGCTTGGATTCATCACCCAACTCTCGTTGAGGCAAGGAATCCTCCAAAAACAAGCTAATGAATGTGTACATCAAACATAACAAGATATAAATATAAAACCTTCACAAACACATGAATCCTAGGTTGAAGTTCTTCCCCCTTTTTGCAATAATCACAAATCAAGCATCAAGATAGATAATACAACCCCAACTCAAGTCCATAAACTAACTACTCATGATCAAATAGCATGGATGGTGGAATCTTGAAATGTTGGAATCCAAGCATCTAATCCAAGATTACAAGCTTCAAAAGTGTTAAGAGAGCCTATTCTAACCTAAAAATATGAAGGAGAATGAAAGAGAGTGTCTAGGGTTCTAACAAGAGTCAAAATCAAGTAGAAATGACCAAAAATCATACATAAATAAAACAGAGCACAGGTGACACGGCCAAGGACATGGCCATGTCCCTAACCGTGTCAAAAAAGGCAGTGCACACTAGAATTTGCACAGAAATTACACGGCCACAGACACGGTCGTGTCCTTGTCCGTGTCTTTTGGCCTTCAAAACATCAGAATTAGGAATTATGGTCTTCATGAAAGTTGTATACCTTCGAGTTTGCTTTCTAATGGCGCAAGAATAACTTCATTTGGACATTCCTAGGCCGAGATATGGTCCAAAAACCAAACAGTGGTCAGTTTTGGATTATAAGTTTGGAAATTCAACTTCAAGGACAATTTTGACCCCTGTGGCTTCCTTTTTAGGCTTTGATAAATTTATAGGAATTGTAACCCTTTGAGTCCTCTTTCCCATGGAACAAGAATCACTTAATTTGGATAATTTTAGACAGAGATATGGCCCAAAAACAGAATAGTGGCTAATCCATGCGAGAATTTCATCTTGTTGACACTTGTTCCACTTTTGCCTTGGTTTAATTTGTCCATATGATCAACACCATTAAAAAAATCACTATTGTCTCCTTTGGAAGTGTTGCATCCATCTCTTTAGCTTCATCTTGGCTCCCCTTGACTCCAAATGCATCCAACATGATCTAAAATCCTTCATTTCTACTCAAAGATCATGAATTGTGCATAATGGATCAAATGAGCAAAATAAAGATCATTTTGAATAACATTGTGACACTTCATAAGCAAAAAAAGGCTAAATATGGGGTAGAAATGGGGTATAAATATGAATAATTATGCACTTATCAATTAACTTAGTGTCGGTTTCTTCTAAAGAAGACTGATTGATCAGTTACAACAACAGAGGGACTGACACTGAAGATCTGTTTTAGGAAGCTGTTTCCTTTTTGCAGTACGCGGTTTATAAAGTCAGATTTGGAAAGAAGATCAGCGTATCTGTGTTGGAAAGGTATGAACTGAATCTTTAAGATTACATTCTTCACATATCGTCCTACCATCTACAATCAGAGATATCTATGGAGAGTGTTCTTGTTATGGAACTATAAGTACTCTTATTCGATCAAGAATTAGGGTTATGCTTTTAAGAAGAAAGAAACACTCCGAACCAGTTAAAGAGATCATATCTTTGATTATCATGCATCTTCTCAATACAACTTGTTCTTGGTGATTATGATGAAGAACTTGAGAAGAAATATTACTGCTTAAACGAAAGGACGCTAAGATCACATAGTTGTGGGAACAACATTGAACAGCGTCACGGAAGTGGACTACATCAGATTTAGCTCTCCAAGTGAAGGGACTTCATTGGACTTCTGTATGCATGGCTCTCCAACTTCGACAATCCACTAAAACTGTGTAGACTGGGTACGTACCTTGTGTGTGGCACTTGGGTGAGATTGTTGTTTCTCTACCTTTGTACATTGGATTATGAGTTAGTGGATTGGACGCCTTTGTGATCGTTCCCCAGACATAGATACACACCGTATCGAACTGGGTAAACATCTTGTGTGTTACTTTGTGTTTTTGTGTCTCTTTCTACAAACGTCTCAATGATCTATTTAACTGACTGAAATCATCGCTGAATCAGTCAGTCCATTTCATCAGTCGTTTAATCTGGTTAATTCGATTAAAATGAGGAAATGCAAAATTACATGTGGTATCAGAGCTTTTAAGTCTACATAGTGACTTGATCCGAACGGGAATATTTATTTTGCATTGCTCTCCTATTATTAGAAGTGCCTATGTGTGTCGATTGGCAGTGTTGCTTGCCTGTGCGTTTTTGGCTGGTTGTTTTTATTCAGGATGGATGCAAATATGAAACCACCAGAACTGGATGGTCACAACTACTCCTTCTGGAAGGCTCATATGGAGATCTATCTCCAGGCACAAGGTACCAGGGTTTATCGTACTGTTCTTTCTGGATGGAGTCGTCCAACTATTCAAAATTCTGATGGAACTACTAAGGCGAAACCCATTGAGACTTGGACTGACGATGAAATGAATGCCTCTGATCTGAACAACAAAGCACTGAACTCTATCGTAGGATCCTTGCATGAATCTGTCTTTACCTTAGTCACGGGGGTAAAAGAAGCAAAACGAGTATGGGAAATTCTTGAAACCAGATTTGAGGGCACCAGTGATGTCAAGCAATCAAAGCTTCAAATGGTACTGTCAGAGTTTGAAGCTCTAAGAATGAACGAAGATGAAACTATCTCAGTCTTTCACAGTCGGGTTCAGAACCTGATGAATAGAGCCTCAATTCTTGGTGAACCATTCACTGATGAGAGAGTAGTAAAAAAGATTCTTCGATCTTTGCCAAAACGCTTCCGAATGAAAGTAACTGCAATTCAAGAACACACGGGCTGGGAAAAGAAGAGTGTGGGAGAACTTATGGGAAGTTTACACACATATGAACTTGAATTGTTGGCTGATGATGACCTTGCAGTCAATAGAAAAGGCAAGTCAGTAGCGTTTGTTGCTGAAGCTGATCGAGAATCTGACACAGATGATATAGATGATGAAACCTTGGCCCTACTAACCAAGAATTTTAAGAAGATATTGAAAGGTTTTAACAAAAAAAAAAATAAAATCAAGGACAATCTACCAGGACACAATACAAAGGTAGTAACTCCTCATATCAAAAAGCAGAAACACCATCTTTCTCACAAAACAATCAGTCCCAGACTGGCCGAACAAGACAAACCAGAAATAGTTCGACGGATACAGGTAGATCTCTCAACCGGTCTGTCCAGTGTCGAGAATGTGAAGGATTTGGTCACATACAGGCTGAATGTGCAACTTACCTCAAGAGGAAAAAGGCTATGTCTGTGGCTACACTAAGTGATGATGAGGAGGAAGCACCTAATGATCAGTCAGATGACAATGTGGGAAATTTTGTAGCCTTCTTTACAGCTACAGAGAATCAGTCAGACGAAAATGAATCTGATGGAGAGTCCTATATATCGATAGATAATTTTGATGAGAGGCATACTCAACTTGAAATGGAATTTGTTAAGCTGGTGGCAAGCTGGAAACAACTGGTGAAAGTTAATAAAAACCTGAATGACGAACTGAAGCAACTAGATGATCTTCTGAAGAAACTAAACACAGAACTTGTCACGAAAGAAGATCTTATCACACAGATTAGATCTCGAGAAGGAAAATTGATTAAGGAATTGGAGGATTTGAAGAAGAATATCAAGATGATGAATACCACATCAACTCTAGACAAAATTCTAGACTCTGGTCGAAATCCAAATGATAAAAAGGGTTTTGGTTTTGAACGAGGAGAATCTTCGAAAAATGTTCCTGTGTTTGTCAGAGAGGGTATGTCAACTGGTACACCAGCTCACAGTTAAGAAAGAGGTCAGTCATCCCGGTCTGTCCAGATAAATGAAAAGAGGAAGGTACCTGCTCGAACTGCAGATACTGACTTTGGCAGAATAGCATTTCAATCTCAGTACTCAAAGTTCAAAAATAAATTTGCCATAGTCAGACAATATACTCCCATATGTCACTACTGTCAAACAAAAGGTCACACTCGACTTGAGTGTTATTTTTTCTACAGAGATCAAAGAAAGGAAAAATATCAGAACAAGACCATTACTCCGTTCACAAGACAGGTTTGGGTCAGGAAGTCAGAAGTAATATGTTATCCCACTATAGTTCTGACTGCTTCTACGACTGAAGCAAGATGGTATTTCGACAGCCGTTGTTCCAGACATATGACAAGAAATGTCAAGTGCCTTATGGCTGTTCAACCTAGCAGTGGTTCAGTTACATATGGAGACGGACAAAAAGTTAAAATAGTCGGAAAAGGTACCTTAAATGTACCAGGTTTACCTCATTTAGAAGAAGTTCTGTTAGTCAGTGGTCTGAAAGCAAACCTTATTAGCATCAGTCAACTGTGTGATCAGAACTGGAATGTGTGCTTCAATTGTAACTGTTGTAGAGTCAGTAATAAAGCCGATCAACTGGTAATGGAATGAACTCGATCCTCAGACAACTGTTATGTTCTAACTAATGAAAATGCTTGTCGCCTATCAAAAACTGATGAATCAAAACTATGGCATAAACGACTGGGTCACATAAATTTCAGAGATATGGATAAAATGATCAAACTAGATGCTGTGCGAGGGATGCCTAAGATCAGAATAGAACAGGAAGGAGTCTGTGGTGCATGTGTCATTGGGAAACAAATAAGGACTCCTCACAAAGCAATAAAGGTTATCACTACTGAGAGATGTCTAGAACTGGTTCACATAGACCTCATGGGACCAACACAGACTGAAAGCATTGGCGGAAAGAAATACATATTTGTGTGTGTAGATGACTTCTCTCGGTTCAACTGGGTATATTTTCTAAGAGAAAAATCTGAAG